ATTTCTGCTTTTTTCCCTACATTCTTTCTTTTTGGTTTACATTGCTTTTCCAATTTTCCTTGTTGCTAGCAGCTTACTATTCTTATGCTGATGAATGTAGGAAAGCACTGCTTTTTTTTTGTTGTTGTTGTTGTTAGTGTATTATTTACACAAATTTCTGTCAGTTCACAGTGGGCGGATTCTAGACAATTCCAGTGAAAAGAGTAGACACCGCCGGAGATGCACAGATGGAAGCCCCAGCCCCCTGCTGCTCAGGCCCTGTCTTCCCGCCTGCCCTTCCCACCAGGGACACCGCGCGGCGCTGCAGCGAGCTCAGAGCCTGTGCTCTCCTGCGTCCAACCTGATGATCCGATCGGTGCTGGAGGTCTTCTGGGCATGGAGCTGCTGCGTTGCTCGGGTTTTGTTTTACTTTGGGGCTCCTCCGCCTGCATTCTTTAAGCACTGTCTTCTGCTCTACTTTCCTGTGTCTCTGTGGACTCCCCAAGGATGCAGAGTGAGCTCTGCAGGCTGGGGTGACCTCGCTTCCCAGGCCCAAAGGCTCAGGGGTGTGCAGAGACTCGGGGCAGTTCTCTCTGGGTGCACCAGGCTCCGTCCAAAGGGGGCCCCTCTACCCAAAGTGGGGTGTCGGAGGATCGTGGTACAGCAGAGAAAGACTTCTGGGTACTCAGGGCAGAAGGAGGGTGCGCCCACCTTTCCAGGATTCGCTGGTCCTGTGCTGCCAAGTGACTGAGCTGGCATGAGCTCAGAATGCGACCAGGATTCAGAGGTTTTGTCACTTTTTATCCGGGCCTTACTGTACGTGGTGTCTGGCGCGTGTTTGAACTGCAGCCTGGTGCTCTAGCACCGCTATTCTTTATAACTGAATGGAGAGTCAGGTTTATAGAAAAATGTTTCTCTGCATATACGGTATCTAATTTTCAGTGTTCTTTGTGCTTTTAAGCTATATATTTATGCCAAAAAATATTTCTACCTCTTCTTATGTATAGAAGATTTTTGGTTCTCACCTCAAAATATGGTGAATTTTCATGTTTTCCGCAACTGATAAATTTTATTCTTTTGTTTTGAAAATTATTAAGGAAAGAATATCACATTATATATTTCATTGTCTCTTTGGCATTATTCAGGTTTTTATGTCTTTTTGGTTCAATTTTGGTACTTTATATGCATTAGGCATCTGACCATTTCTTCAAGACTTTACAATTTTCTGGAGTCACAATTTTCACTCTAGTTGCTAGTCAGCTAGATTTTGCTAGTGTTTGGTGTCATTTTGACTTTTTAATTTTTAATTGCACTGATATGAGTTTTTTATTCTGTCCTTTAAGTTTGGCTAAGATTTGGTCTGTTTTATTTGTTTTTTTTAAAGAATCAGCTCGTTAAGTCATTAATTCTTTTATTGTTTTCTTAAAATTAAGTTTCATACTGATCCTTGTGAGTTCACTCATGCAGTAAATTTGAGTTTGGATTGGTTTTTCTTTGATAGAACTGTGAATATATAATTCAGTGTTTTTAAATTTCTCTGGTTTTTTAATCTAGGTGTTTACAGCAATAAACTTCATTTTTAACTCTGTTTTGTGTCTCCTAGATTGTCCAATGTTTGGTTTATTCCTTTATTTCTTCTGTAATTAACTATTCGGGAGTATATTATTTAATATCCTTCTATTTGTATGGTTTTGTGGTTTCTTTTATAATTGATTTATAGTTTTATTGTGCTATGATCTAATTGTGTGTGTAGCATGATTTTATTCTTTTGCACTTATTTAATCTAGTCCATTAAACTAGAATGTCGTCTATTTTTGAAAAAGTTCCCTAGACTGCTGAGAAGAATGTCTGTTCTGTTGTTCAGTAGAACTCTTTGAAGATATGTATTAGTTTCATTTGTTCAGTGGTATAGTGCAACTTTGATATTTCTTTGGTAATTTTTTGCTTTCTTGATCTCTGTTTGGGAGAGTGATGTATTTAGGTCTCCCATCACAATTGTGCTGGTGCGTATGTAATCTTTTATGTCCAGTACATATATATTTACAATTATTATCTGTTCTCACTGGATTGTTTTCTTGACTAATATAAATTGCCATTCCTTGCCTCTTCTGGTGAGTTTAAATTCAAGTACATTTTCTTTGAGAAATGTATACTCCAGTTGCTTTTTGGGGTTCTGGTGCACGTAATCTTCTTTCCCATCTTTTTATTTTTAGTGTATGAGTTTTTTCAAACTGATGAGTCTCTTCTATCTAGCAAACCACTGGGCTTTGTGATCAATCCAGCCTACAAATTTGTCCTTTTCTTGTATGTTGAACATTCATATTGAGTTATTACTGAAAAATATTGATGTATTCCTGCATGGCCTGATTTCTGTTGACATCTTTAATTTTCCATTTTTCTTTAACCGATATGCTGCTTGATGTATTTATTTCATCAGAATTTGGGGTATTGTTGTCTTCATTTTCTCTAACTAAAATATGCATGATTTTTTGAGTATTCATTTGGTGTTTATGAACTTCTTATGATGTGTTTTAGTTATGGGATACCCTTATCCTATGTTCATTTTGAAAAGGTCATTGCAGTACGTTTTAGTTTGGGTTGAAAGACTTTTACTTCTAGTGCTGGATAGAGTTCAGTCCACCCTCTACTAGTCTTTAATATGTTTGTGATGAGACCATAATTCATAGGTCTCAATTCATAGGTCTCATTGCTGAGTGGTTTGAATCACCACCAGCACATGCATGACTGTCCCATCAAGTTACTATTCATTTTATTAGTAAAAAGACCAATACAACTGATTACATCCATTGTCACTACCAGTCGTGCAAGCTACCAGATGTAACAGTTATGCCTGTACATTGGCGGTTCAAGCTGGTGGGAATGTATTAAAGTTTTTGTTTAAAAAAGCCTTATTTAATACAATTACAAGTGATCTTTGGCTTTTCACTGACAACGTTTATGACTCTGTCCATTGGTTTGGCCTTCTCAAATTTTGATTATGATGTGCAATTGGGGCCTTTTAAAAATCATTACTTGTTGTTCTGTAAGCCTCATATAGTTTATATGTTTAGTTTTCCTTATTTTTTTCTGTTTTGATTCTTTAAACAGATATTTTATATTGTGTGCTATCCTCTAATTTGTCTCTAACTCCAGTTTTCCTTGAGTTAGACTTAGCAACATCTAGTAAGCACTTACTAATGTTGCTGTACTATTGTTAACATATCTGTGTGTATAACATCTTTTATTTCCATCCTGTCCTTGAGGTCTGATACTTCCAGTTCGTCATTGCTCGTATTCAGTAGAATTCATTAAGGATTTCTGTTTTCATGGAGTCTATTTTTTTGGTAAATTATTCACTCATGTTTGAAATAGCTTTGATCAGGTCTTTTAATTTTTGGTTTTTGTCAAAATCCATTGGTCACTGTGTTTTAGTTCAACCATTTTGTGGGTGACATAGTATTTGAGCTTGCTGAGTTTCCATGTGTCCATTTTAATCATTTCATGCTGCTCACCCACTAATGTTTGACTTCCACCCTATCAGTGCCCATTGGGTCTTTTTAAAGAGAATTGGGAGTCTTTGGAATCATTTTCTGTCCCATTTTTTCATGTTCCTTTTTTTTTTTTTGGTATGTGTATGTGCTGATGGTTGAAGTCAAATAGAGTGAAAATTTGTTGTTGTTTTGAAGATCTCTTTAGCTGTTTTCTACTGATATGATCTTAGCTTTATTTGTCTAGAGGCTTTTATTTGCTACTTTATTCTATTCAGTTGAATTGGGCTGTATCCAGTTACTGTGTTATTGTAGAGATTCCTACAGGTTATACCATCTACAGATCTAACCATCCATCAATAATAAACATTAAACCATTTAATTATAATTTTCCCCTTGTATTAGCACCAATTCCAAACTATGCTGTATTTATTGACAGTTAATGTGGGATGAAGAAGAAGGGAAGGACAGAGAAAGAGGAAATCAGGGAAAATAAGGAGAAAGGAGAAAAGAGGATGTTTATGGATAAGATACAAAGTCAGACACTGTTGGAGGCATTTTATAGCTAGACTAAAGGGTTAGTGCTGGTGAGTTTAAAAGAATATTTTGGACGCATGAGAGGACTGCAGTGAAAGGACAGAATAACTGGAGGTTGAGGGAAGCTGTGGAGTTGTCAGAACCTACTAACACATTTGTGGTTAGATTTAGTGGGATCCTGTAAGCACATTATATTGAAGGTTACCCCAGCATAACCGTGAACGCTGCCATTTAAGTTAAAACACTGGTCTAATCTTATTCTGCTGTGTACATTACAAGCACTTGCTATATATCTGTTGCCCAAAGTGCAAAGAAATGAAGAATAAACTAGGTAGGTGAGAAAATTAAAATGAGAAGGAAGAAGACTGAGAAAGAGAAGAGTAAAAGATGTAAAAGCTTGCAAAATTAAAAAAAAAACTAAAAATAAATTTGTAAATAAGCATTGAAGAGAAAACCCTGGAGAGAACCCACAACATGCACATGTAGAAGAAAACACCCCTGTCCCCCACCACGTGGCCGCTTTACCGTGCAGTCACAGTGCCCCCTTTCCCTTCCCACTGTAGTCATAGTCTGCTTCCATGCACTGAACCTGAATTTGCTCTGCCTGTGGGCTGCCTCCACCGTCTGCCTGGGGGTGGTGAGGGCTGCAGGTCTCTCTGGACAGACTTCCTGGCTGCAGGATCTGATTTGTCTGTGCTTGACTGCAGGTATGTTTCTGTTCCAAGATCCAAATATGTCAACTAATTTGGGAAGAGTAGGTGAAATACTGTGTCTGACCGCTGGCGTCTTGTCATCTTTCACTGGCAACCTTCCTGCTCCCTTCACTGCTGAGCAAACCCAGGGTTCATTTCAGTGTTTTTTTGTCCAGGAACTTCCCGCTCAGTGTGTCACAAGAAGCTCTAGGTCTTAGAAGACTCCTCTGTTCCTTCCATTTCAAATCCCCAACCATCGCTCACTCAAGCTTGCCAGCCCACAGAACTGGTTGGAGTCCTCTTGGCCCTAGTAGACTATCTCCTATGTTCAGGAGGGTCAACAGGCAGTGGGTGGGTTTCCTGCTCTTTCTAATCTCTCCTGTGTTTGGGGAAACAGTTGGAAACTGCCTAGTCTTCACTCGTTTTGTTCAGTCTGTCTCCCTCCCCTATATGTCTAGGCATGTGGTCCAGGAATCTCTGCTGGTGGACTCAGCATCTCCCACAGCTCTGGAGTTCAGCATCTCTCTGCATTGTGGAGGCTTTCGTTCTAGACGCTGGGTGGAGGTAAGATAATGCGGGACAGAATTGTTCCCATTTTAAGGGAGGATGATGGGGGTAGGGAAAGACTACCATGTTGCTTTTTCTTCTTCTATCCAGCTGCCCTTGTGGCTTCCCTGGGGCCTCAACCACAGTGCACTGCTACACTGGATTTCCTCCTCCAGGTGGGAGGGTGAGAGTGAAGGGACCTGTGCAAAGCTTTGGCCATTGCAGTGCTGCCTCCCTCACTGGTGATTCGGACTCCTCTCTAGATGATGTGGCCCCTGGGTAAAGGGGGAAGGTGGAACTAAGGATCAGTGGCCGTGCCGCTTCACTTTTTCAACAATCCAGATATTGGCAAGATCTGTGTGATTATTCTTCTGACTGGTTTTCTTTCCTGAGTGCAGTTTCCCTTCACATCTCAGAACACTATTTTATTTTCAGTGACTCTCCTCCAAGTATCTCCAGCACATCTCCTACTCTAACTAGCCATGTTGGAATCTACGGTTATATCTATTGACTGGGAAGTTATAAAATGTTTATGTAGAAGCACTTGAGGTATTGACAAATATGCTTCATGGAGGATTATGTGGGGTAAAAATAATTAATGAGCCATGTCCTAAAAGTAGTAGAGTCCAGTCCCCAGGATGAAGGGGGTCAGGAGGGATTGCAACGGTTAGAGCTTCAGGGCCAAGTACAGCGTTAATTAGCTGAGTTTTATGGATAAAATTAGCATTTGGATGCATTAAAATTAAGGTAAATATCTTGATAAAGAAACTATATAGCATAGTTTGAATGGACATCATGTTGTCCCTTGAATACCTAGGTACTCTTTATGCATGGGTTTACAGTAACAGTTAAAGATCAAATCTTTCTTATGAAAATATATATTATTAGAATTGTGTATATGTAGTCAGGCATAGATATAGCTAAATATTTTAGAGAAGTGCTATTTTTAAATACGTACCATACAGGAGTTTAAATTTCGAAAGTGCATTGACAACATCCATTCAGCTGTTTGTTTTTTAGACCTCTCTTTAATTCAATTTTTCTATTAGGTTAATTCCTCAAAGCAAATCATGGAGGTTTGTTGCTATTTGCTTTTCAATTCATGAGTGTGAAAGCTCCCTGAGATATGCTCTCAACTTCTCTCCAAATTGGTCTGTTAGATAAATTTTCATTACATTCTTTCCTTCACTGGTAACTTCATGTCCCGTGTCCTTTTTTCTGAGTTTTTCATCTGTTGGAATAGAATAATTATAAAGAATATATTGATTGAGTGTCCACTTGCTTTTTTTCTCTGTGTGTCTTAAAGCAGAGTCAGAAAGAAGTAGATTATTATGCAATGTGTTTGTGCTGGCAAAATTTTAACTTCTTCAGTAACTGTTTCTCATTATGGCCCATTATGGGTGCACAAATGTTTCTGTTAATTTGAGCACACAAAATAACTATAATGCTAGGCCACACAGTATAACAAAATATAAGAAAAGTATAAGTATATAAAATATAGTATAAGAAAATATAGTCTAATGTAGTTTAAATGTAATTTGTGAGTTAAATTGTGAATCTGTAAGAACTTTTGCTTCAAAAAATTAGTTTTCTCGGACATACTGTACATAGATCAAGAGTGATACTTCAGAATATACATAATGACAAATATTTTTGCCATTAATATGTGGAGTTTATTTGGGCTTAAAATTAGAAGGTTGATCTTTAATCTAGCATATCTGTGTATTACAGATGGCAGGTAATAAGGAAATTGAATGAATGCCCTGATAACTGTGTGAATTATTTTGCGGGTCACAGGAGCGTGAAATTCAGTCATGACCTGCTCTCCTTTCTCCTCACAGTGCAAGAATGAATGCTCAACAAGAATGTGTGGCTGTCTTTTACAAAGCTGAAAGTCTACTCGGAATTCACTGATTATTTTCATGGGGGAAAGTGATTCTCTGTAATCTGCATGAACTAATCTTCATTAATGCATTTGATATTCCCCAAACAGGAATTAAATCACAAGGAACATTTAATTTAAACAGTACTCTGAGTATAAGTTATGTATGTCTGTTGGGTCAATTGCTTGTTTTAAACTCACTTCAAATGGACTTTTTGCTTGGTTTTATTTGGTTTTTGTTTTCCTACTTTGTGTTTTATGATTTATATACACCTGTGGAAATAGAATTTCAACTATTTTCTGAAGTCCAAATTTTTGCAATACTACTGTGAGTTACTATTAATAATTTAAAAGCATAAATCAGATCACAAGAATATTTCTTGCAGTTAAGATATATTTATATTTGTGTTCTACTGTCTCAGTTTAGAAAACTAATATTCTATCGTCTATAAAATATATAGGTTCCCTATGACTTTTTCTAAGTTACTACAAATATGAAGTAATTTCAGAAAATAGCATTCTATCATCTATAAAATATATAGATTGCCTATCACTTTTTCTGAGTTTAGTAGGAGGATTAAATGAGATATTATTTTTGATCTTTATTAGTTTCAGTATCATCGTCAAGAAATACACTACTTAGAATTCATTGCAGTGCCTGAGGTGCAGGCGTTTAGTAAAAATTATTAATATAAACTTGCTTTGGCCATAAGATTCTCTTTTTTTTTGTACCAGGGATCAAACTCATGATGTCTGGCTTGCCAGGCACATGCTTATGCTGCTAAGTTAAATCTCCAGTCCAAGATCCTGCATGAATGGAATTCAAATACATGGTATATTTCATCAGCTGTTTAATATTGTTGGCTCATCTTTCTAAGTTAAATAACAAATCTGAGTGAAATTTGATTTTCAGATGTTACATATACTGTATATAGGCGTATATTGCTTCTAAAGTAGCGGGCTATTTTTTAAAATTTCAGAAATACAAATTGCTTCGAAATAATTTTATATTCCACACTTAATCAAATAGACATAAATACGTCAAATTGTATAAATTTATGTAATTTTAATGTAATTTGTAATTTTTCACATACATTTAAGCACAGTTTGAGATTTATCTACATACCCTATAAATTGTAACCTGTATTAATGTAAGTAATTTAGGCTATTTTAATTAAACAGTTCATAAAATATTCCTTGCTTATAGCAAGGAAGTTTAGGTTTATCTATATAATATGGTACCTATTCAAACAAATTTTAAATTTGTTAATAGAATGGGAAGAAAAAATTAAAGAAATTGTAGCATAAGGAAAACACATAAATTTTGATTTTGATATTTTGAATATTTGCACACTGGTTAAAGTACAAATGTCAAAACAAAGTAACCAGTAAAATGACCATTGGAATCATTGTATTCAGATTGTTCTAGGAGTATTTTTTTAAATTTTATTTAAAGAAAAGGAAACAAAAAATACATGGAGATAAAAAAGGGTAGAAATAATACAAAATTACAGAAAAACAAACGGTAAGAAATTGCTGGTTGATAAGTTACATATTGTCATCTTAGAAATAGCTGTTCAGGTTATGGAATTAAAGTATTTAGAATGACATTCAAAAAGTGACACTAAAAAAAGTTCTGCTCAATGATTGAACAAAAACTCAGTAATATGGTTATCAGTCCTACACATTTGTTTTACATCTCAAAGCGGGTAAGATTAAACATATCAAAACAGAACAAAACAGTTAAAAAAAAGCAATTTGAAGAAATACAGATTTCAAATCAAGTCCACTGGAGATCTTCACTGTCTATCTAAATGTCTCTAGTTTCTTACAAATAGTTGTCCCCATCTTCACCCACTTTAAATACTTATTGCATATTATAGAACTAATCAAATCATTACAGGATGATGAAGGCTTTTTAGGTCTTCAAGATCTAACATTAGGGAAGACAATAATAACTACCATCGCATCTCTCATTCTCTTTGTGATAGTTGTCCCCATCTGTACATATGCTGAAATTGAACTCAAGAGACCAGACCAATGTCATTCTAATCAGCGAACAATAGTATTGCTAGAATTAATATCATAATGCTACAAAATTAGCCTCGGGTTTCTTAGCATCTCTTCTTCAGAGTATCTGTTCATTACATCTTGCATTATATAATCTGTTCCCGTAAATCATTAAAAAAAAAAACCAAACTCGTGTGAGGGCAACCTAGATAATTTTTTGTATATTACCATGTAACTGGAACCTAACAGATTTTTAATTAATAGATATGCAAAAAATATTTAAAGAAAATAAACTGAAAATTAGTGAATGAATAAATTCATGAAAATGTTCACATATTTTGCAGGAGAACTTATATTTTAGTGCATATTTTGAAGAGGAAATGTCTATCTTTATATTAAATAGTGCAAATATTTACTGCATACTTGATAAATGTAGACTGTCAAATCAAATGTGGAAAAAAAGACAATGCTAATCTTTGTATTCTTTGTTTCCTTAAAAAAGCATATGCTTGTTTCTTTTAAAACATGCAAACTCAGATATAAACCTAATAATAGAAACATTTTAAAAATGAGAATCAACATTTAAAAATGAAAATGGTTTAAAATGAATGTATCATGCATATGTACTACAAATTTGAAGATCATGCATGACTATTTATGAGATGTTACTATTATGCAATCTGCATATTCATCATACAAAATAACATATAAATTATTTCCCTCATGTCAGATAGCTGTTTCTCCTCCTTCAAATCCTAACAGATAACCATGCTTATTTCTGTTAGCCCAGAACACTTTTTCTAGCTCTTGGACTTAAAAAAATTACAAAAATAAGGTGAGGATTCTTTAGTGTCCGGCTCATTTTACAAAACATAATTTTTTGTTTTGCTAAAATAATTTTTTGTGTTGCATAAAACCGCCTGTGCTTTTTTGAGATCCGCAATGTAGACTACATGAACCAGATTGCACCCTTCCCTTTCATCCCTTTGGGAGATCCCTTTCTCTCGCTCAGATTGTTTAAGTGCCTCATATTCAATGCAAGAATCCCTCAAAATTCTAAAAAATATATGAATAAACAATCTTGCTTTTGATGAGATTACATTTATATAAACAAGAATTGTATCAAGATTTTGTGAAACTATTCATGTTTTAGAAAGATCTATTGTCATTAACATACTTTAACCAAAACATAACTAAAAAGTTAATGTCCCAATTATTGCCTATGTAAAGGCAAATGCAAATTTAAAATAAGAAAATATGAAGCTTAATTTTTCTGATCAAAATAAGAATAAAAACATACAAATATTTTTTAATTATCACACATTTTCAGTATATGTATGCATATGTGAATATATATGTATTTCTGACTTCTCTATTGTTCTAATGTTCTATATTTACAGTGAATTTTATTTTCTATCTTGTGCATTTTGACTACTGTATTTTTAAACTATAATTAATATCAGAAGTTTTGACACTTACAGATTTGTTCTTTTTTTCAAAGGTTGCTTTTACCACTTTAGGTTTTTAGTGATTTTTATATCAAGTTTAATATATTTTTCTATTTATGTGAAGAATGCACCTAGGACTTCCATTAAATCTGCAGGTTATTTTCCATACTCTGGACTTATTCACAATTACAAATCTTTAAACCAGTGAATATTAGGAGTACTTTATTTTTGCCTTTAATTTCCTCCACTATTGTTTTATAATTTTAGTGATTCTTTTATTTTTTTAATTCATTCCCAGGCATTTTATTCTTTTTGTTGCCAAATATCATTATGATTTTTTTCTCAATCACTTCTTTTAAACTTTCTGTCATTCTGAGTATTGAAACCAGAGCTCTCCACTAAACTCCATCCCCAGGTCTTTTAAAATACCTTTTCTTGAGAAGGAAGTTTCTAAGCACTAAGTGAGCCTCGTGGGGCTCCAATTTGTACATCTTCTGTCCAGTCTTGCAGAGTTCTGGGAGTAAGGCTGTGTGGCCGTGCCTGGCCTCTTATCTCTTTTTACTGGTTAATTATTTGCATGTAGAACCACTACTGATTATTATTATTATTATTGGTTCTATATTTGTTCGATGATGCTGGACACTGAATCCACAATTCTTAGGCATCGCCATGCTAGGAACATAATACAAAATGCAGCTACTCCTCAGTCTCTATGGTTGATATTTCATGATTCTGGAGTTTTCAGGAATTTATCAAAAATAACTTTTTTATTGAGTCTTCAGTGTTCACTACATATATAACCATTTTATCTGTAACAACAGTTGATCATCTTTGATTTTAATATAGGTTATTTTTGTCACTTTTTACTGTCTAACTGTCTTGGCAGCCAGGCATGGTGATAAATGTCTGGAATCCCAGCATGTGGGGGGCTGAGGCAGGGGGATCACCATGAGTTCAAGGCCAGACTGCATTACATAAATGAGTTCAAGACCAGCCTGCACTAAATAGCAAGACCCTGTCTCAAACAATCCTTGCCCTCAAGAAAAAGTAATTGTCTTGGTAAAAATTTTCAGGGAAATGGTCTTTCTTTCCTTATAAAAGATCTTTAAGAAAAGTTCTTAGATTGTCCCTATTGATTATATTGACTGTAAGCCTTTAATATATGATCTTTATTCCAATCATGCAAGCTACTTCAATAACTAGTATATTTAGAGATTTAATCATTAATGAATGTTCAATTTTGTCAAATGCCTTTCTGCATCAACTGAAATCATTACATAATTTCTTTCTTTGGGCTAATTTTGTGATGTATCATTGTGATAGCATATTGTCATTGTGACAAAATTCTTAAGAAAACCAACTTAACAAAAGGAGGGCTTATTTGGAATCAATATTTCAGTTTACAGTCCACTTACTGTGATCATTTGCTTTGATACTATAGAAATAAGAGGTTTGATACTGTAGAAATAAGCAAGGAAAGAGACTGGAAAACAATTTGAGTCTCAGTATTTTTTTGTGGGTGCATCTCTGGGAGTTCAAGGGCAGCCTGAACTGCATAGCAAGATCTTCTCTCAAGAAAAAAAAAAAGATAACAAATATATTGTCATGCACACTTTTCTATGAATATAAAATGTTAATTAGTTGTTAGCACTAGTTTTCTAATGTAGTTGGTGGTGTAGCAAGAAAATAATTTAGGCATAAACAATACAAAGCCTCTTTAAAATTCATACATGTAGCTATTTAAGGTTAAGAGACTTTAACAATGTATAATTCTTTTTAATGCATTTGTACCTGATATGTGTTATATTATTTAACATTTTATAAATTTAATTAAAGAAAATGCTTCATTTTAATTTTTCTGACAATAGGAGTAATCTGAATATTTTTGTCTTATAGAGCATTTTGAGGACACATATATGTACATATTCATGAATCTTAGAAAAATAAGAGCTAGTATATTCACAGGAAAGGTCTTACTCTTTATATTAAGTTTGGATTAGGATATTGAATATGCTCAAATTTATAAAATCTTTTCCAAATTCTATAAATTATTTTCATAAAAAGCAAATTTTAAAGTTTGATCACATCATGTGATCACATGTGGGTGGAGTTTATATTTGACTGAACAGTGGATATTCTTTTTCCTCTCACCAGGTTAATGCACTGAAGATACTTACAATTACCTGACAGAACGCTGTGGTGTCCGTTTCCCTGTCACTGATAAACTGCTGATGATCATTCATATTAGACCAGTTGGCAGCCCGATACTCTGATAACTTTATTGTCTTTCATCTGACACTTTTTATAATGTTTATTGTTTTGACTATTAAAAGGAATCTTCAAATGAAGCGTCATTTTATTATTTCTGATTTTTTTTTAATCTGAGCACTGAGTGCTTAGTGTCATCAAAAGCTTACAGGAATTCCTATTTCAGAATTCCCCTCACAACGATCTCACGCATCAACTTCCAGCTGGGCAGATAGACTTGAGCAACATCTTACAGTATCTCTAGCTTAAAAAAAAATATATATATGTATATCTTTCTCTTGAAATTCAACAACCTCAGGAGTAAAGCATACAAGTATGCATTTCACTTTTTAAAGGGTTAAACCATCTCCAAATTTTGCCTGCTCTTTGGTTTCTACAGTGACATTAAATATTTTTGTGTGGACATGCATGTAGATATGTCTCTGTGTGAACATACAATTTTGGCATTTATAATTCTCCTGTAGTGTGAGTTCATTATAAGATATGTCATTATTACCTGAATAGTATCTCCTAGGATTAGTCTTTAATCTTCTCTACAGAATATCATGTTCCTTTAGGCTGGAAGTAACACAGTATAAGAATATTTTATACAGCTATTTGTTGATAACTTAAGGTTATATTACAGGGTTTCCACAGTTTATTTATAATTATCTAAATAATTGAAAGATGTTATATATTATTTTTCATAAAAAACAAGTTAACAAATGAAATTTTATTGAATTTCAGTCACTGTAAAAATTATCTTTTGTGCAGTAAAATCACTTAAAATGTAGTTATAAAAGAAGTGCATTCTCTAGTAAAATGTGAAAATTACCTAATTATAAAATCAATTATTCTAATAAATAAATTATATGCTACAATATCCTTTATATATTACACATATGCATTAACTTAGTTACATTTCATATCTGAATGTAGTTTGCAATTATTTATCTTAAAATGAATGGACTTGGTGTTTAAAGACAGCAAAACAGCAAATACATAACCATTAATGAGCCATAATAAAGGATATATCATCAAGAATAATTGTAAGCTAAATATAAACCAAAAGACAAACTCCATCTTTTCCTGCATGAAAATCTTGTTGAGAAGAAAGAAAAAGATGCATTTGCTAAAAATTTTTGTTATAAGCTCACAGAATTTTCAGACATTTGCACCCTGGTATGTAACAAAAATGCATTTCCTGGAAAAAGTTGCACACAGTTTATATAATCTTCAAAGTTAACTTTAAGATAACCACTATGTCAAATCTGGTGCCACTTTTTATTTGATAGTACCACTTTTCTCCATTCTCAACTTATACTCTAAACTTGCAGTCAAATTTTTGAAGGTTTCTACAGTTAAAAACTAATTCAATAGTAATAGAAGTATTTTAATGAAGAATGATTAAATGATTATTTTTGTGTTTGCTGTTTGCGATTACACTCATTATCAGTATTACTTTGGTTATACAATAAGGCAAAAAGAACACAAAGATTTTAGTAATTACACATCAATTTCCTACTTATTTGATTTTTATGCAGAAACTTCTGAATATTGACTACAGTAATGAAATTAAGTGAATTCCGCAATTTTCAAGTATAGTTCTGCAAATGTTTAGAAAATAAATTGGAAAATTATAATCTAAGTATCACTTAATATAGCAGAAATGCAGTTTGAAGTGGTTTTAATAAAAGAATTAAAGTACTACAAGTCCTTTAGAATGTGCTGTAGTTCTCCTTGGGTGACTTACCCTTCCATTATTAAAAAAAAAAGCATAATTACAAAAGAAAAGTTGTGTGCTGGTTCAATTTGAGAGATTCCAGTCTCTGGGGGTGTTGACTTGCAGTGACACAGTACGCGCAGTGAAGCAAAACTTGTAACTTCATGGCTAGGAAACAATAGAGGGAAGGGAATACACTGAATTTCATGATCCTCTGCAGAGATTTGGTTTTAATGACCTAAGTACCTCCAAGCAAGTTCCACCTATCAGAGGTTTCACTCTCTTCTACCAAGCCTTCAACCCACTTTTTTTTTAATTTTAAGAAGATTAAGATAAAAGAGAACATAACAAAACAGCTCAGAACAGAACAATTTAAGCAACATAGTGTTTCACCACAAGACAACCCGACATAACACTAGCTACCATAGTGTCTCTTTTCTTGAAATATTTGAATATACCTTTATACACTATAATATCAAACCTAACAAAATAGTATAAAATCATTAAAAAGAATGAAAGTATTATGGGGTATTCAGAACCAACTAATAGAAAATGAACAATGATTACTATATTATCTACTTGTCCATAAAAAAACATGTTTATACTATCACACATAATAAAATCCAATAAGATACAACATGATAAAACCAGTGGAGACAGAAGAACAAAAGCATAGTAGGATGATATTAAATCAGCACTAGCTATGATAATGTCTTGTTTTCATCAAAATACCTGTTCATAGCATCACAGAAAATAAAATCAAACAATGAGAATAAAACCATTCCAATAATGAATGAAAACCTTATAAGGCTTCAAAGCAATATAATGGGGAATCATGATTACCATACTCTTTGATGTATTCTTACCATTTCTTACTCTAAGAAGACTGTACGGTATTTGTACATGTCAGTTTGACTCATTTCGCTTGTCAGTATGGTCTCAACCTTGAGACCAAGCCTTCAACACTTAAGCACTGAAGATCAAAACTGTAGCACCTCTTATTTGTGTTTTTGCTTTCCACACTTTCAGTTAGCTACAGGCTTTGTGTCTGTAATCTGTGGAATTATATTAAAAAAAGTCATTCGTAAGGGTTAAATTTTACACCCTTCACAGTACTACAATGAAATCTAATTCCATTCCTCTCTATTCTGCTTCGAACATTAATTGTTGCTTTCTCGATCATTTCCACATTGTACATGCTAAATCGGTAACAGTAGAAATTTTGGTTTTCAGATTATGGCATTGCATTCTTGTGGTCAAGTGACTTTTTTGTTAACTCAGCAAAAGTGCAAAGCCCAGTATTAGTTATGTTGGCAATTTGGATAAGCCTGAAAGAAGACGTAGTGTTTTCTTTGAGGAAAAAGGTGAAAGTTTTTGACTGAATAAGTTCTTTCCTTAGAGAACGCAAAATAACGTTGCATTGAGATTGCTAAAATCCGTAAATGAGAAATTGTTAATTTCTCAATGTGCTTATAGTTTAAACTTAAACTTACTACAGATATGCTCACAGAATAAAGCACTGTATACAGGTTCTAGGATTTTCCATAGTTTCACACATACATAAGGGCCCTTGCAATGTATTTCTACGGGTAAAGGCACTAGTATACAATACAATGTATATCTAATTTTTAATACGGGTATTTTCTGTATTCAAAACTATCATATACAGAACCTTGATTACTTCATCTAGACATGAATTAAATCATAGTTTCATTCTAAATAAAAGGAAATTTTGGATATACTACACAGATAGTTTCTAAATATGGATTTTAATGTCAGTGTCTAAGAGACGGCAAGATAAGACAAAATTGAAAGACATTTTTAAAAACTTACCTAATTTTTCTGTAAAGGTAATATGATCAATAGAATATTGGCACTGGTATAAAGCTAATATATCAACAGAAAATTTTAAAGTAATGCAAAATTAGTTCTATACCAAAATGTTTCTTTGCATTTTTATGTATGTATTTAATTGATGCCATCTTCCCAATTTAAGTCACCTAAGGTAATCTTTTAAATAACTGAAATTAAGAAATGTTTTTTTTGCAGAAAAATGAAAGGATACCTTTCTAATTCTGCACATTACAAATAATTTAAAATATAAATAAATGTAAAAGTAATACAAATATTTTATAATAAAAAAACCATGATTTTAGTTTTGTGGTATCTAATAAGCAATAATCATTTTAAATATAAATTCAAATCATCCATATAAAATGTATTTGTCATTTAAAATACATACCTAATAAACTATGAAAATAATAGACTAAATATATTTGCAAGTTTTATAACCATTGAAGATTTTTTTCTTCAAATATAACATACTCCTTCAAAACTACAGAAAAAAACTAATATAAATCAGCATAATTAGGGCCATGTACAGAAAATGTGCATAAAATATGCTCAGTATTATCAGTCATAAAGGAAATACAGACATAAAAATATGCTCAATATTATTAAGCATAAAGGAACTGCAAATTAGACTCCCAAACAGATCCATTCACATGCACTATAACAGCTACAACCCAATGTAATTATGTCCCTGTGATATGTTGGCAAGAACTGACACAGTTGTAGCCCCTGTGTATTATAGGTGGGAGAATCATTAGAGGAATACATAGTCCAAGCTTCTTTTAATTAAAGTTTACTTTACATCTGGCTAATAATCCTGTAATTACAGTTCCGAATAGTAGCCGTTTCAGTTGCTCATGGTGAAATGCAAGTGTGTGACGGAAGGAGTCTTTCACGATTTGCTGTCAGGTTTCCCACCACTGCAGACACTGTAACACAAACATTATTGCTTATGAATTTGCTCATAAAGCTAAAAGCACATGAAAAGCACAACAAAGGTGTTATAAAACTAGTTTTCAAAGAATGAAGATTTTGATATGTATTTTAATGTATTTAAATGATTTTGATAACTAAAAATATCAATAAGAACAGTTCAGTATTATTCATTCCTATGCATTAATTGAATACTTATCAGCAAGAATAAGAGGATGTGACACAGGCCACAGCAAAGAATGGATTTGCAGTCAGACAATTCAGTACACAGTGTGCAAAAATAAAACACTGAAATGAGGGATGAGATTATTTCCATTAGATTTCTGTGGTCCAGAACGGTAAGAAGGATTGGGAGGCGGGCATGCAAACAGAACCATGTTTTCAAGATGTGAAAATGCCTGTGAGAAGAGGAAAAGCAAAGTGGTCTGGTGTGTCTTATGTACAAAGCAGAGGCCCAGCTGCGTGTAACTGGAAGGAAACAGCTTAAACTCTATTTTATTTTGTTTTATCTGAACATTTCTTCATCATGTTTCATTCACTTTGTGAAATTTATTTTAGATGATACAATAAGACATAAGATTGTACATTCT